GTTACAGCAGCCGGTTTCACACATTACTCGGTTCGTTAGGTCGGGCGGGTATTAGTCCGTTACAGCAGCCGGTTTCACACGTTACTCGGTTCGTTAGGTCGGGCGGGTATTAGTCAGTTACAGCAGCCGGTTTCACACATTACTCGGTTCGTTAGGTCGGGCGGGTATTAGTCCGTTACAGCAGCCGGTTTCACACGTTGTGGGGAGTTTTAATACCACATGATCTCCTATATCTAAATTTGTTTTTAATAATAAGGTTCTGATTACTACTTGAGTAAGGAAGTAAATTACACAGAAGAGCACAGACCAATGTTTTATTCAAATATGTTCCACCATCAATGAAACTTTTATTGTTTGCCTACCTATTATTATACCGAACACTAATAGTTTTTATCTTACATTTTGGCTGTTAATCAGCTGCCGTTCTCAACGAAGTCACGAGAAGAGCTGTTTCTGTGTTGATATTCGATTCTTGGTGATGCGTTATACACTCGCTAGGGCTCTCTCTATCAGGACTAACCGTAAAATTACTGTTACACTAATCATTTGTATATCGTGATAAGTAGCAGCGTTGCTGCACATTAGCAGAAATACCCACCCTCCGGGCAGGAATAACTGTGCGGAAAGTTATGGTCCTGCAGACTTTTCTGGAATTGTCTGACAGTTCTACAACAATGTACTCATACAATAACGTTCACCATCCATGAGAAAAAGGATTCTATTGAAATTTTGGTTTAAAAGTGAGCTATAAACAAAGCATCACATCACAGAGTAGATTTTATTGAAGTATTTCTTTGTAGACGCAGTTATTAATGAAAGTGTCTTGCTTTTCTGTTGCAACACTCATGAGATTTTCACTATAAAAAAAAAACATAATTTTTTAAGATTTTTTTTATTGTTTTATATTTGAAACTTACTCCTTTTTGTTTGTTATTTTCATTGGTTAAATCTGAAATATATAATTTTTGTGGAAATTTCAACTGTTTTATTTATTGTTCAGCTATAAAAGTACTGCTTACTTATAAAAATATCACCAGTTTCCGAGATCCGAGTTTTAGACGTATATATTGCAAGCTCAATTATAATAAGATATCAAGGTTACGGTCATGGTGAAGGTTAATATAGTTACGTTTCTTTATCTGGTTTGTTTTAAAAACTATTCAGAATTCTCTTTCTCCTTTCAAAGGTTCCATTATGCAGCCTGGGAGCGGTAGCCAACCTCTCCTGAGTATGATCAAAATGGAATCTCCTTCCGACTACTACAATAGTTACTCAACCCCATCCGATTGCAGAGGACTCGGCCCCCTTTCCGCGGACCATCTGCACGAAGAGGGAATACCCCTTCCTCTTCACACCCCTAGTCCAAGTATAGAGTATCGTAGTAAAAGACCTCGCCGTGGGTCGATAAACGATGATGACATGGCTAAGACAGCTGAAATTAGCGAGTACTATTGTCACGTTGCCGCTGACCTGACCAATCACTCAGCGTGGGGGAATGACGTAGAACACAACAGAATTCATATTGTTCGTAAGTTGCTATAAGTTATATAGCATTATTTCACTTTACTTGTGGTAAGCCTTGTTTCCATTTAAAGATCATTATTTCAGTTGACTAGTAAGTTGTAGTAAGCCTTTTTCTGTTTTTCATTTGATTTGTGGTAAGCCTTACTTCTGTTTAATTAAACAATGATTTCAGTTGACTTTGTATGAATATTGTTTCCGTGTTTTAATAAAGTAGGGATACTGTATTTCTGTGTAATTAATGGAAATGAATTCAGTATTACCGTTAATCCTGTATTATCTAGATCCAGTATTATTGTTAATCTTGTATTATCTAGCCAGTATTACCGTTTATCTTTTATTTTCTATATCCAGTATTATCGTTAATCGTGTATCATCTAGATCCAGTATTATCGTTAATCCTGTATTATCTAGATCTACTATTATCGTTAATCCTGTATTATCTAGATCCAGTATTATTGTTAATCTTGTATTATCTAGCCAGTATTATCGTTAATCCTGTATTATCTAGATCCAGTATCATCGTTAATCCTGTATTATCTAGATCCAGTATCATCGTTCATCCTGTATTATCTAACCAGTATTATCGTTAATCCTGTATTATCTAGATCCAGTATTATTGTTAGTCCTGTATTATCTAGCCAGTATTATCGTTAATCGTGTATCATCTAGATCCAGTATTATCGTTAATCCTGTATTATCTAGCCAGTATTATCGTTAATCGTGTATCATCTAGATCCAGTATTATTGTTAATCCTGTATTATCTAGCCAGTATTATCGTTAATCCTGTATCATCTACATCTAGTATTATCGTTAATCCTGTATTATCTAGATCCAGTATTATTGTTAATCCTGTATATGTCGAGAAAGAAAATGTTTCTTGGGATAAATTTCAATGTGGTCCCATTCATCCAACTTTATTAGGATTTACAAAATATATTTATGCTCTAAAAGGTGTCTTTATTTAATTGCACTTTATCGATGTCTTTACGCCGTCTATTACGTAAAAACTAAGTAATTATATATGTTGGAAAATTCTAGCGATATTAAATTAAAGGTTCAGGAAACAAATACACCTAACACCAGTTCTTTTGGAAACCAAGACCTTTTTTTTTTCTTCCAAATGTTTTCGTGATTTGGGGTTTCTTATTGTTGTTTTTTTCTTAACTTTATGTGATATTTCAGTATTATAGAAATGTTAGTTTTACTACCGAGGAGTATTTGGTAAACTAAAGTTTTTTAATAATAATGTTTCTAATACGAAGCTTGCCAAAAATTTCAACAATGTTTTAATTTACTAAACTTTAAAATCTCGACTGTATAAAAAACGATCAGAAATTTAATAAAACAGTTGGTTCCTCAGGACCAGGAGAGCCTCCTGCATTCAGCTCGCAACAAAGTAAACTGAAACATGGGGTTTCTAGTAGTTTTGTTCCTGTCGCTGATGGAGCATTTAGCCCCCACACTCCCAGAAGAGAGGCTGCACTTCCCCTACACGACCCCACCAGAGTACTTAAAGGACCTCTATCTCCTCACCCTAGAGAACGTAAGTAAGATTAGTCCTTAGTAGACTTGTTAACTCGCTCTTAAAGGCAGCTGTTCATGACGTTCTAGATTATAGATATGACGTAATGATAAACCCTTCCTATCACGTCTGTCACTTGATTTAAAACATATGTACCATATATGCGGATTTTATAGTGAAATTCTAAAGTTCTAGAGACGACTTTAGGAGTCGGGTGTTTTTAGAAAGCCTGAGAAAGTAGAAAGATGGTTTCTAGAGTTGTGTCGAAGTATGTTTAGCTAGTACTAACAATAACGTAAAACTTAACCCTAACCTTATTACGTAACACAAAAAAAAACTGAACCAAGGCCTTCATAATTATATGTTATATGGTTAGCTAGTACTACCAATAACGTAAAGTTCTGACCCTAACATTATTACGTAACACAAAAAAAACAAAACTGAACCAAAGCCTTTATATGTTATATGTTTAGCCAGTATTAACAATATATTGTTGTGGTCATTCTCAAATAGGGGCCTAGAAATTGTAACTATCCCTTCCCACGGTAGAACAAAACACAACTATATATTTTTAATGCATTGGTATATTAGAAGTATGAAATAGATGGTACTCTTGTTATTAAACATGGATATCTATTAAACGTGGATATCTACAGGTACTCTTGTTATTAAACGTGGATATCTACAGGTAACCTTGCTTTAAACATGGATATCTACAGGTACCCTTGTTAATAAACATGGATATCTAACAGGTATTCTTGTTAATAACATGGATATGTACAGGTACCCTTGTTAATAACATGGATATGTACAGGTACCCTTGTTAATAAACATGGGTATGTACAGGTACCCTTGTTAATAAACATGGATATGTACAGGTACCCTTGTTAATAACATGGATATGTACAGGTACCCTTGTTAATAAACATGGATATGTACAGGTACCCTTGTCAATAAATATGGATATGTACAGGTACCCTTGTTAATAAACATGGATATCTACAGGTACCCTTGTTAATAAACATGGATATCTACAGGTACCCTTGTTAATAAACATGGGTATGTACAGGTACCCTTGTTAATAAACATGGATATGTACAGGTACCCTTGTTAATAACATGGATATGTACAGGTACCCTTGTTAATAAACATGGATATCTACAGGTACCCTTGTTAATAACGCGGATATGTACAGGTACCCTTGTTATTAAACATGGATATCTACAGGTACCCTTGTTAATAAAAATGGATATTAACATGTACCCTTGTTAATAAACATGGATATGTACAGGCCCCCTTGTTAATAAACATGGATATTTACAGGTATTCTTGTTAATAACATGGATATGTACAGGTACCCTTGTTATTAAACATGGATATGTACAGGTACCCTTGTTAATAACATGGGTATGTACAGGTACCCTTGTTAATAACATGGATATGTACAGGTACCCTTGTTAATAAACATAGGTATGTACTGGTACCCTTGTTAATAACATGGATATGTACAGGTACCCTTGTTAATAAACATGGGTATGTACAGGTACCCTTGTTAATAAACATGGATATGTACTGGCACCCTTGTTAATAACATGGATATGTACAGGTACCCTTGTTAATAAACATGGGTATGTACAGGTACCCTTGTTAATAACATGGATATCTACAGGTACCCTTGTTAATAAACATGGATATTTACAGGTACCCTTGTTATTAAACATGGATATGTACAGGTACCTTGTTAATAACATGGATATGTACAGGTACCCTTGTTAATAAACATGGTTATCTACAGGTACCCTTGTATTACCGCTTATACTATATTGAATAGTTATTAATATTTTGCAGTGATAAAGTGTCAATATTATTACTTGAAATGTACAGTAAGGTCGTATATTTCGTAATTTAATATCGGAGTGAATATACTAAGGAGAAGGTTGGATGATCTATGATAGAAATCAAGGGTGGTTTAATATCTTATTTCTATTTTTATTGGTTTGTTTTTTTAGGGAAAACTATCATACTATAGACGGTGAGTGATAGTGGGATCTGGGGCGTTGTGGGTTCTAGCACCCAGATCCTAATCCTCTTTTTTACGGTTACATGCTGACTAGCTCTGCATCTGTTGTTATGATTATGCCTGATAGACGGAATATCCCCAATGCTTTTGTGAGCTATAAACTCAGACATTTTCACTTTAAAATAATACCTTTTGTACTTTTATTCAAATGGTATAACTTTACATTGTTATATTAGAGCTTTGTTGGTGTGTACATTTACATGCACAATAAATAAATTGTAGGTTATATTATAAAAATAGAGAAATGCGAAGGTGATAAAATAAATAAATTAGACTTTTAGAAAAAAATTACCTTCAAAATCATGATAGTAATTTATTTACTTATATCTATATATGAATTATGTGTTATATATTTCGTGTTTAAAATTCGTGTAATTTTAGAATAAAATCAAACCTGTACATTTATCGAGTCCACACAAAGTTCGTTATCAAAAACATTCTACTTCTTTCAAATCTAACTGTATTATAAGTAATCTTCCTAACTAAGAAGATTAATTAAAATTTATTAATGTGTGCCCCCCCCCCCCCAATGGGTTAGCGATAAATTTACGGATTTACAACCTTCAAACCCGGAGGTTGATTCCTCGTGGTGGGCAGAGCGCAGATAGCCCTATTGTATGGTTTGCGCTAAAACACAAAAACGACAAAAGTTATTGATGTTGCAGCTCTCTGGTGGTCAAAGTATGTGTTAGAGTGCTGTAAATACAATCGCATTTATCTCTTGCTAACAATTGTATGTATACTATTGTTATTATTAATATTGTTATTATTTAATATATTTCGAAATTTACGGCCATCTGTTGACAAATACGTAAATCAGTCACAGCATAACAACTAACTGCCTTTTGTTTCCCCATTAACTATGTTCAACATCTAATGTTTTCCAAGTATTAGTGTAATGCACCTAAAAACAATCTTTTTGGAAACACATTACGGAAATACTTGTGGTTTATGTTGTAAGTCACGTGGTTTCTTTTACACCTACATTTGTTTCAATACGTATAATGTTATCTACGTTCTTGAGCCTCGCGATACTGGCTTCTTTAACTGGACGTTAAATGACCGCCACAAGGTTTGACAGTGTAGATCCAAAATAAATTAAGAAAGCTGGTGAGGAATGGGAATCACGGACATGTGTAAATGTGAACATGTGTAAATTACCCACTTACGTTTAGTAAAGTTTATTTTCCAATTTGGCAAAACCACAGTGTTAACACTAACTTTATTACCCCGGTAAGGGTACTTTAACGTAACATAAAAAACGCTAAACCAAGGCCTTTAAGTGTTAGCATGTTTAACAAAGTCACATTGGGCCATCTGCCGTGTCCATTGCAACTTACCGTAATAAGATAACTACTGTTACAGTTAGGCCTATCAGGGTAATTAAAATTTAAAGGAAGTTCAGCGTAATAAGATAACTACCGTTACAGTTAGGCCTGTCAGGGTAATTAAAATTTAAAGGAACTTCAGTGTAACAAGATAATTATCGCAACAGTTAGGCCTATCAGGTAATTAAAATTTAAAGGAACTTCAGTGTAATAAGATAACTACTGTTACAGTTAGGCCTATCAGGGTAATTAACATTTAATGGAACTTCAGTGTAATAAGATAACTACCGTTAGAGTTAGGCCTGTCAGGGTAATTGAAATTTAAAGAAATTTTAGTGTAATAAGATAACTATCGCTACAGTTAGGCCTATCAGGGTAATTAAAATTTAAAGGAACTTCAGTGTAATAAGATAACTACTGTTACAGTTAGGCCTATCAGGGTAACTAAAATTTAAAGGAACTTCAGTATAATAAGATAACTACCGTTACAGTTAGACTTATCAAGGTAATTAAAATTTAAAAGAACTTCAGTGTAATAAGATAACTACCGTTACAGTTAGGCCTATCAGGGTAATTAATATTTAAAGGAACTTCAGTGTAATAGCCATACCTTTAAGTGCTGTTTATATATTTTTTTATTTTTAAAATACAAGAAACAACACAACATTCATAGGGTAGAAAAACAGTGTATTTGAAATATAATAAAATAGCGGTGTTGTACATTGTTTCAGATGTAAGTAACTAAACTCGTTCTTGATTCCGATGAACTAATCACTACGTTAGAGAAGTGAATTACCTTACAAGATTATCTTAAGTTCAAATCCTTGTTCCAGGTTTATGAGTTTTCGGTCTAACACTTAGAAATCAGTAAAATTGTTTCTTGTATAAAATTCATAACTTCTTGACTAACTTGTAAGTGGATGAATTAAGTTCGAAATTCATGAGAAAACTGTTCTATATCCAGTGTTTATAAACTATTTCTAGAATCTTCGACTGTGCTTATTCCCATGCCCATGTTAAAGCAGTATTCCCCAACACCCATTGTAAAGAGATTCTTCGAAGGAATGCGAGGTCAGTCTTAGACCACAGATCTTGACAAACATTTCATACATCTTCCACCATAACTTCACACCAGTTTCTAAAAACCACACTTAAGAACAAATAAATATAAATCTATGAATGCTCAGTCGGGTGACTTCACAAGTATATTAGAGAAGGGGGCAGAATGAGTATTGCTTTTATAATCCGTGGAGTTAGGCTTAACATGTTATCCTGATGTAGCCATTCCTTTTTGGCGTTCCGGTCATACAGTGCGGAAATTTCACTTTGTATAACTGGTATCAAAACCTTGTACTGAATACACGTCACCTCTATGAAGCTTAAGTTTCACATTATATGTAAACTATAAAGCCTAATTTAGTTATTTAAACACTACTGAAAACTCCTTACTGCCTCAGTTCATGTGCAGTCATTCCAAGCCTTGTCTAAAGTTGCAAAAAACTTGTTTATTTCTCTCATGCAAAGTAATTTTGTTCACACTGTCTGTAACTTCTGTCTCTCTCATGCAAGGTCATTTTGTCCAGATTGTCTCTACCTCCCCCCCTCTGGTACAAGGAAATTTTTGTCCAGATCGTCTCTACCCCCCTCTCTGGTACAAGAACATTTTGACCAGATTGTCTCTACCCCCCCCCCCTCTGGTACAAGGGCATTTTGTCCAGATCGTCTTACCCCCCCCCTCTCTGGTACAAGGTAATATTGACAGTTTGTCTATATTATTCTCTCTTTCTTTGGTACAAGGTAATTTTTGTAGAATTAGTATCTTAACTTTCGTTTCTCTCGTGCGTTTTGTACAGTTTTCTGTCTACGTGGTGTTTATAACTTGATGTGCGTGAATTATTCTCTTGTTACACGCTGAATTCTAGATAGTCGACTTTGAAAATGGTTCCATTTCTTTGCTGCTTCCTTATAAGAATACCCTTCCTAGAAAAATCTCTGGCATGTCTTTACAGCCATAATTAGAATGATCGCCGTAAACCAAGTACACGCAGATCATTTGTTATCTGTGGAATCACAACTCCTATTAAATCGTTCTTATACACTTTGATTAGCATTCTATGAACAAATACAAGTAATGTCTTCCAGATCTAAATTAATTTCTTCCTCAACTGGCCAGTTTAAAAGAAAAAACATGCCCGTGTTACCCGGTTTATCTCTGATAGATGTAAAAGCTTTGTTCTTTTTAAATTATCTAAATAAAACAGTCTAATTAGTTTAGGGCCTCAGTGATACCAACTTTGTTTTGAGTCTCAGTAACAACAGCTTCAGATTTTAGCAAACTCAAAAGTCATTAGAGGAAACTAAATTATTTTTTGTTCCTAGTAAAACTTTCACTCGATCTTACGTTAAAAATGGAACGAATTGTTCGCATTTTTAAACATCTAAATAATAAATATAAGGTAAAAATGAAACTCCCGAGATAACGCAACCGGGAAGTGAACCCTGTAAACACAGGGTAGAAATGAAGTCCAAGAAATCAACTGAGATAAATTTATGGGTCAGTTGAATTTCATAAAGCTACTTGAGGGCTATCTATTATAGCCGTTCCTAACTTAGAAGTGACAGACTAAAGGGGAGGCGGCTAGTCAATACCACCCACCGCCACCTTTCGGGCTACGCTTTACCTATGAATATTGGGATTGACTGTCACGTTATAATGCCCTCACCACTTAAAGGGCAATCATGACGAGATAATTTAATACTGTAACTGGGTATCAGAAAAGTTAAGGCTTGTGTGTTTTTATTCTATAGTAGAGTAAAGTTACTAATACATTTATTGAAACTTTTTTTCAGATTTACTTCACCCACACAAAATAGTAAATTCACCCTCTTCAAGCCTTGGAGCCCCTTTAACCACCTCTGGACCCCACTACCTGGGGCAAAACGTCGGAAAATACCATGAGAATGGAGATACCCTTTCAGATTTTGTTAGTCTTGTTTGTGAAGAAGCTCAAAGCTCAGGGCCTCAGCAGGTGAGTAAAAGAAGGGTATTTCTTTCTGTATTCGTCCTTTTAATCCGTAATAAGTACGATTGTTATGGGTGGATATCTAGTAAGATTATTATGTATTACTAATGGTATAATTAGTCCGACTATTTTTCTCGTCTTTATTATGTATATTATTATTTTCACAACGTTTCGACCAGGGAATTCTCGGGCCTTCGTCAGGTGTTATATCAGATATTTTTTGTATGCTTCACAAACCGGAAAGCTTTTTATGGAATTATGAGGATTCGAACGGCCGAGCCTATGATCCCAAATATGGGCACTCTAACCACTTGGCCATCAGAAGGAAGCGTTTTTGAGATGTTTTGGAAGTACCTCTATTTTTTATCTCTAGTATTTTTAACCCAATTGTTTCGTAATACTGGGAGCCATATCGGGCTAATGTCTACACTTGGCTTACTGATGGGATTAGTATTTAAGGCTATTGATAGGATTGGTAGTCAAGGCCACTGATGGGATTAGTAATCAAGGCTACTGATGGGATTAGTAATCAAGGCTACTGATGGGATTAATAGTCATGGCTACTGATGGGATTGGTAGTCAAGGCTACTGATGGGATTAGTAGTCAACGCTACTGATGGGATTAATAGTTATGGCTACTGATGGGATTGGTAGTCAAGGCTACTGATGGGATTAGTAGTCAAGGCTACTGATGGGATTAGTACTCAAGGCTATTGATAGGATTGGTAGTCAAGGCTACTGATGGGATTAGTAATCAAGGCTACTGATGGGATTAGTAGTCAATGCTACTGATGGGATTAGTACTCAAGGCTATTGATAGGATTGGTAGTCAAGGCCACTGATGGGATTGGTAGTCAAGGCTACTGAGGGGATTAGTAATCAAGGCTACTGATGGGATTAGTAGTCAAGGTTACTGAGGGGATTGGTAGTCAAGGCTACTGATGGGATTAATAGTCAACGCTACTGATGGGATTAGTACTCAAGGCTATTGATAGGATTGGTAGTCACGGCTACTGATGGGATTAGTACTCAAGGCTACTGATGGGATTGGTAGTCAAGGCTACTGATCGGATTGGTAGTCAAGGCTACTGATGGGATTGGTAGTCAAGGTCACTGAGGGGATTAGTAATCAAGGCTACTGATGGGATTAATAGTCAAGGTTACTGAGGGGATTGGTAGTAACGGCTACTGATGGGATTAGTAGTCATGGCTACTGACGGGATTGGTAATTAATGTCATGTGTACTGCTTCCTTGATTTTCCTTATTTTCCAATGTGGCTCGGTGTCGATGATAGTGACTTAATCCCATGCTGGTCTGTGTTCTCCATCAGACCTTGCATGTTCTGCTATACCAGACTTGTTGATCTCACCCCGGATGGTTACCTTCCTATGCTCTTCCAATCTGACAGACAGAGGAAGACCTGATTCTCCTTTGTATGATCTACCACAACTGTATGGAATGTCATATAGGCTGTTCTTTGTTTGCTCCTTAGAAGTTGGTGGTCTGACTTTGGTGAGTGTTCTTTTTTATTACTTCTGATGCTGTATTACCTACAGATTCTCCATATCTTTTCTGATAGTTGTTGCTGGTGTCTTTTGTGTCTGTTGTTTGGTATGTCTACTGTACTGGTTTCTCTTGTGCCTGTTGTTCGGTGTGTCCTCTGTACTGGTTTATCTTGTGCCTGTTGTTTGGTATATCATCTGCACTGGTTTCTCTTGCGGTTGTGCCTGTTGTTCGGTATGTCCTCTGTACTGGTTTCTCTTGTGTCTGTTGTTCAGCATGCCCTCTGTACTGGTTTTCTTGTGCCTGTTGTTCGGTATGTCTACTGTACTGGTTTCTCTTGTGCCTGTTGTTCGGTGTGTCCTCGGTACTGGTTTATCTTGTGCCTGTTGTTTGGTATATCATCTGCACTGGTTTCTCTTGCGGTTGTGCCTGTTGTTCGGTATGTCCTCTGTACTGGTTTCTCTTGTGTCTGTTGTTCGGCATGTCTACCGTACTGGTTTCTCTTGTGTCTGTTGTTCGGTATGTCAACTGTACTGGTTTCTCTTGTGTCTGTTGTTCGGCATGTCCCTGTACTGGTTTTTCTTGTGCCTGTTGTCGG